CGGAATCCTGGAATGGTTTGGGTGGGAAGGGAATTTAAAGGTCACCCAGTGGCACCCCTGCCGTGGCAGGGACACCTTCCCCTGTCCCAGGCTGCTCCAGCCTGGCCTGGGACACTCCCAGGGATCCAGGGGCAGCCACAGCTGCTCTGGGAAATCTGGGAAATTCCTTCCCTGTATCAAACCTCAATTTCTTCCCTTTCAATCTGAGCCCATCCCTGCCAAGGATGAGCCCATCCTTGTCCTGTCACTCCAGGCCCTGGTCCCAAGTCCCTCTCTGGCTTCCCTGCAGCCCCTTCAGACCCTGGAACGAGCTGTGAGGTTTCCACACAACGTTCTCCTCTCCAGGCTGAGCGTCCCCACCTTTCTCAGCCTGACGTCACCCTGCAGTCCCTTTCCCTGCAGGTGCCACGTGAGGTTTGTGGGACCTGGTGGAGCCCAGGGCTCTGATCCCCAGGCGGGCTCCCCCACTGCTCCAGACCCCACAGTCCCCACGCTCACCCCATAGCTGGTCTCCTGCGCTCCCAGGGCCTCCAGGATGCTCTCCAGGTACTGCTGGGGCACGGTCAGCAGGAACGTCCCCGTGTCCACGATGGCCTGGCAGCCCTGGCTGCACCAGCTGGTCACTGACTGCCCGATGGCAAACCTGGCAGGACAGCGGGGACAGGGACGTGTCTTTGGGCACCCTAAAGCCAAAGCACCGAGCCTGGAGCCCTGCAGAGCAGCAGCTGATGGCCAGAGGCACAAACAGCACTCACTCCTCAAGTGCCACCTGCCAGTAAAGCTTCTGTGTCACCGGCGCCCACGTGATGTCCCCCTGGAAGAGCCCAGGGTCGATGCCCCCGAGGATGAGCTCTCCCCCGTACTCGTAGGTGGGGTGGCTGCGAGAAAACAGAGTCACAGCAGCAGAGAAATCCCTGTGCTCAACGTGGCTGGAGAGGGACCAGTCCCCGAGGAACACTCGTGGGGACAAGCAGGGGACACCAGGATGTGTGGGCAGGGGACACCATGACATTTGGACACCAGAACAGGCAGCAGGGGACACCAGGATGTGCAGCAGGGGACACCAGGATGTCCAGGCAGGGGACACTAGGACATGCAGACAGGGGACACCAGGATGTGCAGCAGGGGACACCAGGACATTTGGACACCATGACATGCAGCACAGGACACCAGGATAGGCAGACAGGGGATACCAGGATGTGCAGACAGGGGACACTAGGATATGTAGGCAGGGGACACCACGACATAGAGGTAGGGGACACCACGACATGCAGCAGGGGACACCAGGATGTGCAAGCAATGGACACCACGACGTTTGGACACCAGGACATGTGGGCAGAGGACAGCAGGATGTGCAGCAGGGGACACCAGGACAGGCAGACAGGGGACACCAGGACATGAAGGCAGAGGACACCACGACATGGAGGCAGGGGATACCACGATGTGTGGGCAGAAGACATCAGGACATGGAGGTAGGGGACACCAGGACATTTGGACACCAGGACGTGCAGACAGGGGACACCAGGATGTGCAAGCAATGGACACCAGGACATTTGGACACCAGGACATGTAGACAGGGGACACCAAGATGTGCAAGCAATGGACACCACGACGTTTGGACACCAGGATGTGCAGCAGGAGACACCACGACATTTGGACACCATGACATGCAGACAGGGGCCACCAGGACGTTTGGACACCAGGACATTTGGACACCAGGACGCACAGACAGGGGACACCAGGATGGGCACACAGGGGACACCAGGACATTTGGACACCAGGACGTGCAGACAGGGGACACCAGGACACGCACACAGGGGACACCAGGACGGGCACACAGGGGACACCAGGACGCGCAGAGCGCCCTGGAAGGTTTTTACCGCGAGAAGTAGAAGCTGAAGAGGGGCTCAGCGAGCTGCTCCTGCTCCAGCATGGCCCCCAGCGCCGTGGCCGTGCCCCCCACGGCCAGCGAGGGGAAGGCCATGCCCAGGATGCCATCGAAGTCCGCGAAGTAGAAGGGCTGGGTGGGCTCGTCCTGGCTGAGCCCCAGCTCCTGCTGCGTGACAGTGATGCTCTGGATCTGCAGGGGACGGGCACCCAGCTCAGCCGGGCGAGCCGCAGGGCACCAGGCAGAGGGGAAAATTGGGCAAAACCCCCGGGATTTGGGTGAAAAGCCAGCCGAAGGCTGCCGGGGTTTGTCCAAGCGCGGGATCGGCCCCGGGGCTCCTCCTGGGACGGGACACGGCAGCAGGGGTGGCACGGGGGACACTCACCCGCAGCGTGTCCCAGCCCAGCACGATGGTGACGGAGCCGCTGCCGTAGGACACGGTGCAGGACCGGCCACCGGGGCTGAAGGTGGCCGAGTCACCCGGCTTGAACTTGGCGTGGTTGACTGGGGGAGGGAGAAGAGGGAAAAGCCCTGGGCA